CAATTTTGACAGCTAGCACACAAGGGATTTTCTGAATTGTACTCAAACACAATTCTGCCTCTCCCACCCCTGAAAGCGATGATGACCTGTAGGTCAGGCTAACGCAGCAGTTTGCTAAAACTTTCTTAACCTGTTGGTAAAGCATAACTCAACCAGTGGCTCAACAACATTGGCAGCCAGCTTACACTAGTGCTCCTGCTAGCGACAGCTAAGGTAGGAAACTGTAGGAACATGTGCTGATGTTGACATTCTGGGCTGTGGGGAAGCATAAATTAAACTGAAAGTGGCAATAAAGATTACTAAATCCTGAATTCTCTTCAGAAGAATCCCTCAGCTTGTCCAGGGCCACTGGCAACAGAGATACAGATAGTCTCAAATTAATAATAATTTAAAAAAAAAAAAAAGCATGAATGTAGTAATTTTAATATAATGTGTAAATAACTCTTCAACTTCAGAGACATGATTCATTCCTTCCGAAATAAGTGATTTTGCAATTGTAGCCCACACTAGAGGCTTTTCTAAGGAACATAAAAGTTGCACAAAATCTGAGCATGCTTTTACTAGCCATTCCCTCATCACAGTTGTAATATCAGGATCAGATCTGGACTGCAACCAGTGTTTCATTCAGTCTTGTAGCTTCATTGCTACCTCTTTTAAATACTCTAGTACATATAAACATCTCTTCGCTGCCTGTAAGGATCAGATCTGGACTGCAACCAGTGTTTCATTCAGTCTTGTAGCTTCATTGCTACCTCTTTTAAATACTTCGGTAAATATAAACATCTCTTCACTGCCTGTAAGGGATACCATGTTCTTAGCACTACCATTTTACCAAACTAAAAAAAACTAAAAAAAAGGAAAGAATCTTTTAAAATATTGAGAATAACTTTTAAAAATGATTATTTATAATTTTAATTTCAGCACAATTTAAGTGGTTACCATAGCTGGAATGAATTACAGCGCACCACCAGGATTTTCAGAAAAGGCCCTTCCACCCCAGGAAAAGTTCAGTTGCATTCTGCTTTAATGGCTCTTGGCAAGCTTGCACTATTGTTTTTGTACAAACAGAAGTAAATTTGATATAAATAAAAAATGGAACTTTATGTGAATGAAGTAAACATCAAATTCCTTTATCTTCAAAAGAAATTCTATCCCTGAATAATTAACTATGATATATTTATAAAACTAGAATAATTGAAAACAGAATTCTAAGTTGATTCATGTGGACTGCGCTGAAATATTTATTATTGCAAGTCCAGAAGATCTGTCTGGGTTTTGTCACTGGAAATGTCTAAACTCAGTGTCCAGATGTTTATTTAAGTTGCTCCCACATAGTTCTAATGTCAATTACCAGGGGTTATCAGAGAGCATCACTGTGTATCTTCCTTGACTAATATTCTCATTTCTTCTGCATCTTTGATGTTTTCTTTCATTAAAATTCCTGGCTCACAGCCACAAAAATCTGCCGTGCAGGCAAAAAACTGGTCTGCAGACATGACACATGATGATGCCCAATGTCTGTGCAAGGATAATATTTATCATCAGCTATCATTTAAGCAGTACTATAATCAGTACAATGCCAATTTAAAGCAGCTCAGAGAAATACATGTGAAACCAGGGAATAAGAACTTCTAACCAATATGAAATAACTTGGGTCAGTAAAGAAAATATTATTGCATATAATGAAGATTTTGTGAATCTGTGCTGGGGTTTTTTTTCCCCCTTCAGGAAAAAGCAGGGGGAAAGCCAATGACAAAGTAATTTCACACATAATTACAAATGGAATTGATGGATCTGTAACTCTGGAAACCACAATTACATCGAGACTTTTATAGTAACCAGGAGACAACACAGGCCACTCGTAACAATGACTTAAACAGAAAGAGCTTATCACACAGTCTCTGAAGATTTCCTATATTGAAATGCAAACAGTTAGCCAACACAGCTCATTTATATATATATATATATATATATATGTTGCCCCAAACCAGTTGGTTCATTTGGTTTGTAGGCAAATTCTGGGAGATTTATTTTTAAAGATTTGTATGAAAACAGAAGAAAATCAATGTTAACTCAATATAAATGGAAGCAGAAATGTAAGATGGCTGGAGAAAACAGAGCCGATGCCGTTTCATGTTTTCATGTTAGTACCTGGGTAGTAACACTCCTCTCTTGGTATGAATGTTACCCATTTTTGTTCTAATCAATCAGTAAGAGATGGACACCTTGCGACTTCAATGGATAACAGTCTGAATGACTTGGAAATGTAAAACTCATTCATTATGTAATTTACTTCTCTCCCTACACTGTCAGTTTGGGAAGGTGTACCCACCTAACAGACAAAGCCCTAATAGCTAAGCATTCAGCCTTGCTGAGAGCCATTCTCCCTCACCGAGATCTTCTACAAGTGTTGTCGTTGCACCTCCAGATTCAAGTGTGATTCTGTGTGTGCAGTAAGAAATCCCATAGCTTCTTGCAGAATCACAAGTTTTGCCACAAAATTTGTGCTCATTGCAGCACAGGTTGCATGCAACCTGTATGCACTGGGAGGGCAGTGCAGATGATAGTTTCAATTCAGAGATGGATGCAGGAGATCACATGCTGTTATAACCAGAGCTGCAGTACTCCCACCACTGTCTGACTAATCTCTGAGTAAATTAAATGTATATGTTATGAGCATCAAGTAAAAATTGGGAAAACATTTTTCAGAAAAAAAAACATCAGATGAAAAACATGGACAGAAATTTTGCAACTGAAATTTCTCTTCGGGAGAAGTGTACAAAGAGTATCTCCTATCAAGTGCTCAGCTTTAGAGACTCAGCAAAACCTTGGACTGCAACTACTTGCCACATTATATCACTGCCTTGATCTGATAAGCAACTACATAATACCAGCTGTGTGGATAGAGGGAGGAAATATTAATATGTTCATTAAGCATTATGGCCCCACTTATCTCCCTCATGACTTCAGTAGAGATGTGCCAATTCGTGCATGACGCAATTATGGTCCCCAATAGCAAACCTGGAAGAAAACCAATGAGGGTGTCACTTAGTACAAACTCTTATAAATTTCCCTGTCAAGAAACCTCTCTTATACTTACTGCTGGAGGACACATTCACTCATATTTCGGTATAAAAAAAGAAATACTTAGTTCAATGATTCTAGCAAGTTGAAAATCAATTTGCTTCCCACACACATTTCAGTGTGCTCATTTGTGTCATCTCCTCACATTCAGTAATTGGTTCACAACTCTTATTCACAAATTCCCTTGCACACAGAGATAAAACAAAACACAGAGCCAATATCCTAGTTCAACAGTTCACCTGCACATAAACATTCCTAGAGTAATCAAGCTTTGACTTCAGTACATGCTTTCATGCTTCACCAAATCAAGGGCCAATTTAATAAAATCTTAATAACTAAATGATCAAAACAGTTGCTTTAAACAAGGGATGACTAAATGCCTCTAAATCTTTGCATACATATGGAATAATAATTACAGTATTTACAAAGGAGTCAAATGGAGTTAAGCACTTATATCGCACAGAAAGTCAATGTGAGTGTAAAATGTTTGGACTACAGTCAGCTAACATTTGCCTGCCACAATGTCAGCAGTCACACAGCACTGCAGAAGTACAAGAATAAAACACAATCATTAGTTTACTGAAAAAAAGACAAAAATACCACAGCAAAATAAATGTTGTTTTCACACAGCTGTCTATTCTACTTCCCTTACCCTCCCAGAACTGTGGGAGTTCACAACCTAAAAACAAACATTAAGAAACCAGGAAATCTCAGTGGTGATCTCCACACATACCACCCTAAGAGCAGTGGACTTGCAACAAAACATGAACCACAAACTCAGGAAAAATACAGTTCAGTTAGCACCTCCCTGAAACAAGACCATACCATGCAAGATCTACTCCCTACAAAATTTGTCCTTACAAGACACTTTGGAGAAATGGCGCTTCTTCTGCTTATACTGCTCTGAAAAAGAAGCAAGGCTGGCAAAGAAGAAAAAAGCCACCTTTTCCTACAACAGAGTCCACAGGGTAGGGCACAGCTTCTTCCAACACTGGACTCCCATTCCCTGACCCCTTTCTGCCATTCATTTGATATAAAAGGCCAAGAATTCATTGCAATTCCCCTGGCCCAAGGACACTCCTTGCAGGCACTAACTTGCTAAAGGCAGATATTGAGCCAGATGCCGCTCAAATTAAGCCAAAAAATGTTCTGAACAGGGTACCACTACAGATAACTTTCACTGGCAAAACCCAGCATGGTACACAACACAAAACAACTGGCCAGCCAGACCTCCACCTACAACTCAGGCTAGTCAGGTCCTACCTCCCCCGCGAGACTGCTAAAGGCTGCCAGCTTGTGGTGTGTCTGCGATATGGGAGTTGTCTGCGAGTTCCAAACAGAAACCCCCAAACTACTGCTCGGGGCTGCTCATGGAGCATGACCAGCTTTTGCCATGGCTTCCTGCTCAAGTTTCAATTCATCAGTCTGTAGCATCTGGATATTCTTTTCCCTGACTCCTGATACTGCATCCCTGTGGCAGGTTCAGAAATTCCCCTGCACAGAGCCATGGTTTTCAAATTCTCTCAATTTGTAGGCCCCATTTCCTCCACACAGGAACTTGCAGCTTACTGTCACTGACTTTTTCTTTTTTTTTTGATTGCATGGCCCCTAGAAGCAGTCCACAAGCCGTCAGACAGAAAACTTACTAACAGAACTGCTGACCTGTCAGCTAGGTCTAAGTCTAAAAACCAGGAAAAGCTTATGCATCTTTTCTACCCTTAGTTACTCTTATAGTCCTCCAAAATAATTAAGCAGCATTTAGGCCTTTCTTCTTTCAAATGTTATTTGCCAAATAATTAACATACATTTTTAAGTTGCTAAATCCTCTAGATCATGTTATCACCACAGCTGGCAAACCAGACAGCATGTTCTCTCCCTCAGGAAAGATTACAGCTGTGAACAGGAACTCTATTACAGTGCTTTTCTTCTGTGCAGCCTGGGGATTGGGTACTCCTAACAATGCAAAAATCAATGGACTACAGCTGCTGCTGCAGATACCTGCCTCACATGCTATAGCTCTCAGACTTGCAGCACACCATTTAAGCTCTGTCTCTGCGCCATCTTTCAGACCTGCATGCTTGCTCAGCTTTAGGTCTTACAGATCTTTCTTATCCATTTGCATTTCCATAAGTTTTCTTTCCCTATATAGCAATTGTTTCCTAACTGCATCTCCAGTGTTTTCCTTTTGTAGCACTAAAGCAAAAGGTTCCAGTTTTCCCCCAAATTTGACTGCAAACTTTACACTGTCAAAACAAAACATTATTCACACGAGGAACTTCAGAAACATATTATCAATTCTTTATTTTCTACTGGGTTAACAGCCCACTCCAATAAAACAGTCCACTCCCAAAAAAGAGAGCAAGCTCCTCAATTCTCAGTGTACGTTTTGAAATGTTCTGGAACTGGAGAATAGTGACAACAGCAACACCATACAGAAACTTAATTCAGTATGACTAAACCATTCCATGATTCATCCTCTTATTCTCTAACTTTTTACAACCTTCTGGATTGCACATCCTCCTTAACATGGGTCTCTCTTTATACCTGACTCTTTGCTTTCTTATTACGCACAAAATCTTAATTCAAAGTACCTACCTGTGCTCAGAACCTAGGACCAACAACCCCCCACGAAAGCTTCCAGGTTTTGCAGTAACACAAACCCTTTATCAGTAACTTAATATTCATACCTTAAGCTTGGTTTTGTAGTCATGCAGCACTCTCTTCCACAAGAACTCCCCCAGTACTGTGCTGAACAGCTGCTAATTGTATAACAAATATGTAATGCACTTCACCTGTTACTACAGTGATGATTTCCCCCCCTTAAGGGTGAAGTTTGACCATTCAGGGGATCCACTTTGGCAAAGCCCCAACATGTTGAATACTATCAAAATACAGACCAAGAAAACTGCCTCTGCTTCACAAAGTTTAGAGTGCAAAAGTAAGCCTTGAAAGCACAAGGAAAGAACATAATTTTAGTTAGCATACAAGAGTGGTCAGCAAAAGCCTACATTGAGCTAGATTTCAATAATCTAGAAACAAATTCTTAACTGTGTGGCTTTGTGTAAATTCCTTTAGCACAGAAAAGCCAGCATGGAAAAACCACACACAGTAACTTAAAAAGGTGTGACAGCACAGTCAGCACAGGGACAAGGACGATGATATTAACAAGGGGGAAAGATGCACACAGGCCTGGAAGTGGTAACTTGTGCTTCATGCAACAGCAAAGGGAAAGCCAATACACTTCTGAGGCCTCTCGTCCTTAAGGAGTACAACAGACTGAAATAATGGGAGGACTGATGATAAGACCCAGCTGACAAGCAGGTGGTAGCATGGACAATGATGATCTGAGAGACGAACTGCATCCACAAGAGAAGAGCACTCCCCTGGCCTGTGGAGTCAGAGCCACATGCTGAAGGCAGAAATAGATACAGCTGAGGATCAGATGGATCATCAACATGGATGCCGACGGATGAATATGAATGACTGAAAACATGCAAAAAATAGTGCTAACAAAGACAAGTGATGGTGAGAAGCTGGAAGGATGAAGCAGGAGCACGGAAGAGAGGGGGGAAAAAAAAACCCCAAACAGGAAAAGGTGGTCAAACAGAAGATATAAGGCCTAGAAGTGGCAAACACCTGCACAGTCTGAAACCAAAATAGGAACTAAGAACAAAAAGCCTCAGTAGGGCAGCTGTGGCAAAAACACAAAGACATTCAGGTCTCTGTGAGCTATTCAAGTGACTGAGCTATGTAGGGGGTGCCCAGGTGCACAGCTGATATTTAGATGGAGTTACAGAAAGCCAGAGAAGATAGCAATGGCAGGAGGATGCATGACACATGGCCCAAGTTAAATGCAGACACAGGCAGCGATATGTCATATGAAAGAGAATGGGTGGTATATGAATTTGCTTTAGTGATGGAAGGTAAGCCTTATGAGGAAAAGGGAAAAGCAGACAGCTGATGAGAAGACAATGAACAATGAGAACAAGAAACCTGTGAAAGGAAAGGGTACAGGAAAGTGGCATCACAGATGACCTAGTCAAAATATACCACATATTTGCTTAGCAGCAGTTCCACCTGTCAAACCGCATAGCCCGTGTACGGACTCTGCCACAGAGACTGCCTGGGAGAGCTTGTGGAGCATTTGGGAGAGAGTTACTGCCTGCTAGTAAAGTGCTGTAGGCTCTCAAGAAGTGGCAGAGACTTTCATCCCCCATTTCTAGATGATATCGTGCAGCTTTTTGAATGACTGAGCAACCCTGGTTTCCAGAAACACCATTCCTGCAAGAATATGTACAAATCCAGGGACAGCCTTACACACACTGCTGCTGCAGCATCTTGGAAAACAGGTGTTGCCAGGCTATACAAGGAATCTCTGAGGTTTGTTTTTTAGAACCGAACTCATACTAGGCTTGGAATATCCTAGTCAACAGTGGAATATCATTGTGAAATACTTCTCAGGTGTGTTCCTTATCTTTCAAAATTCATATTAAAAGGCAGAAAATGTTATTGTAAGGAAGAATTCTTTTTTTATCTTCAAAAACCAGCTAAAACTTCAAAATACACAGAACATTTTCTCCAAGAAAACCAGAGGGTGGATCTCTTAATCTTTACAGTATCAGGCTATGAAAAAATAGTATTCCAAAGTATGAAAGCAGTGTACAAAAACATGGAAGAACACCGAGACCTTTAATAAAAATATTAAAGTCTTCAGATTAACTTGATCTCTTGATGTGCTTTGCAGTAATAACCAAAAAATGAAACAGCAGAGTCCCTTAAAGCCCAAACTGAATTTGAGTTACAAAATAACTTGAAATTCTTACCTATTTACAACGTAAGGGCAGAAAGTGTTATTTTAAGGTGCAGGTACAGAAACAAGTTCTCATGTGGTACGAAACTAACTTACAGCCTAACTATCACATATTTATTGTAGCTGTCTGGGCATGTATTTTCACCATACAGTAAAAGCAAGATAATCTTAAATAGATAACAGAAGTATCTCATATTTATACAAGACAAGAGCTTTCACACACGTGAGCATTTCACAGGCACCTTGGCTTACTTTATGGACATCTGTGCCGATGCCCTCTGCAATCACATTTCTGTGCAGAAGAAACCTTCTCTTGTAGATGACTCATCACAGCCTGCAAAAGCATATTAAAGAGCTCACTTTGCTGTAGCTGAAAACTATGGGGCATTACACAAGGATTAACTGCCCCAAGCGCTCAAAACACAGTCCCCAGATAACACTGGGGTTACCACTTAATAACACATATATTTATGGGGTTTCTAATGAGCCCTTCCCATAGCTGAAATGTTAAAATTTTAAATAAAAACTGACTAGATCAAGTATTCTCAATATCCAGGTTTGGGTTTTAAGAAGTACGGCATAAAGATCAGTTACGTGGCTCATCCTCAGATACCCCTTCTTGAATTCAGTCCTCTGCTGAAAAATAATCTTCATCTCTCACTTCTCTGTATTGCAATGAGGCCTCCCCCTCTGGTTCAAACCTGAGCATTTTTATATTCAATCTCTCTGCAAGCTTCTGTGCTGCAAGCCTGGCTTGCATTTCCTATATAAAAGAAAAAAAAAAAAAAAGGACACAAGTTAGAAAAAGTGTTAATTTGTCATTTTTATCCTGGTCATGAAAAAAACTAGTATACTGAAGTATAAACTTGACATAATAATATTAGTAATTCCAGAGTGGGCTTAATTAAAAGCTTTAGTAACTAGCAAAGAAATTTCAGGTTTCTTTTCATACTTATAAGTGTGCTATTAATATTTGAAGACCTTTTTACAGGAGTTGAAATTCCCCATGTGGCCGGCCATCCTCACCTGCGATACTAATGTCAGCTTTAACAGAACAAAATCAGTCCACAGAAGAGAGCAGCTGTGCACAGTAACCATGTAGCAATAGCAATGCTTGGCATTCAGCAACTTCAGCAAAATATCTGTCTCCATTTTCCAAATAAATTACCTCCATTAAAGTGTCAAAATGACTAAATTAGCAAGTGCTTTTAAAAACATACACAGCAACAAACACTTTTACGATAGCGTCTAATTTAAACACTAGCTTGGCACTACCTGGAAAGTCAAAATCAAAATCCATTCCAACATAATTTGAAGAACCTCAGAACTCAGATTTTTCAGGCACAGCATAAATAAAGGAAAATGCAAATACTTGCATATTTTAAGACTGACAAATACTGCTAGGCCTTCATTCATGCAAGGGCCAAAAACTATTTAAAGACTAATAGGCAAAGTATAAATTTAAATTTCTAGTCAGAGATGAAGTGAGTGCAATGAGGTTAGCATATCAATACATGAAAAATCACACTGGATTTTGTTTAATGCAGGAATAATGGTTTCAGAAGGGATTAATACGTTATTTAATTATATCATTAGAAGAAACAAATAAAAGAAAAAGTGCCTTTCCTTAAAGTCTGCCCATCTCAATTTCATCATCAAATTCATCAGTATGGAATGATCCCTTTATGCTTTCTTTTCTAGGAGTGATCCCAATTACATAATTGCTTTTCAGACCAAATCGTAAATTCGTACCTCATAAGCTTCTTTTTGCTGTATCTGAATTGCTATGGATTCCTCTATGGATAATAGCTTAGCAGGGGAATGGTGAAGCGGTGGTAGCCGAGCTGCTGTGATGTCATTCAAATGTTTCTTATCTCTAAGTCGTTTTTCTTCAGCAGTGATTGGGGAGCCAAATCCCCCAGGTGACTGACTGGATGAGGAACCATGCGATGATCCACTTTGCTCTCCTGATAATCTGGAAGAGATAAAACATAAAAGTTGTGACCCAAATTTGCAGCACGAGGTCGAACAACTTCCATTCCAAAACTTATTTTCAACATGTAAGAGCTGAAAAGAAATCTGAAGTGTCATAACACCACAAGCAGCACTCAGAAAAACTAAAAAGATTTCTCTGCAGAGAGACAATATTGCAAGTTACTCCTGACAGTGAACAAAAAAGGTATGCCAATTAATTAGTAAGCATGAAAGAGCAACGCTTTGGGAGTCACACAAAGTATAAACTGTCCAGTACATTGCCATTTCTCTAGAGGTGCAGGAAAAGCAAAAGGCTGCCTGCTATTAAAGTTCTACAAGTTCTAGAATCGATCCACAAGAAAGCTTTGCCAATTTTTTAACAGTTTTGTAGCTTAAGCTATGAAACTCCGTGAAGATTCAAGACAATTGTTTCAAATGTGCAGAATTAGACCACTGCTCAATATTGAGATCCTGCGGCACTTAATGCTAAAGAGCCAACATATTAACCTTGCACGTCACATGACTTTAAATCTCTTTAATCATCAGAAGACAATAAACCCACCATGCTTGTTCTGCACTATTTCCAATTTTATACAAGTGAATTATTTCAGAAAAGGTTTTTCTATTCCATAATACTTACACATTTGTTTTAAATTTGCTTTTTTTAATGACTGGGTTCTTGGCTCTAGACTCTAGAACTTCAATATAATGTGGTGTCTTGGGGTGCACGCTTCCAAAGATATTGCCTTTATGTTTAGCCACATTCTGCTGTTTTTCCAATACTTTTTCACTATCATCCCCATCTACAATTGTAACTTTTTGAAAGGCATCAGCCAACGCGTCTTTACTGTCGTCCAAAGCACCTGTACTTTCTGTACCATCCTCAGTATTGCTGTGAAATACCTGCTGATCATTTGTCAGATGACTGCTTGTGGCTGACTCGGAGATGGTGTCACAAAAAAGACTCTGATCTTTTGTAACAGTCTGTACTTTATCCTTTTTCCTCCGAGTCCTTTGATTTTCCAGAGCAGTATTTATGGCATCTTGCTCAATACATTCTGCCTCCTGCCTTTGGGAAGCAATCTCAGAAACTTCTTTAATATTAGAGTTTTCATTAAAGACTGAGAAATCATCACGGTTTAGCACAGCTTCGTTTAGGTTAACTTGCTGTTTGCTTGTATTAATCTTCTCCTGTTTCACCTGAAACTCCAACCTGACAGCAGATAACAGCTCAGCCGTCCTTGCCACTTCTTCCTCCTGTAAAATGGCAAGCGTCAGCTTTTCAGCAAAATCGGAGATCTTCTTACCCTTATCTGGAAGCCTAGCAATGAATTTCCTAAGGCAAAAAAAAAGTATTTAACAGGGTATAAACAATCCTATTTCAATCTGAGATAGAGAACTGTTTTATTAGAATAGTTAATGTGGCAGGTGTCTCATTCTAACATTAGCTTCTTTCTTACATACTAGATTTCTGAAAAGCGGCAAGATGCAAAGCACTTGCAGCCTCAGATGTATACTGTGATAAAGCAATTATCACACCGTTTTCTGCCCAAAGATGTAACTACTGCTCTGAAACGCGCCGTGCGCAAACAACGCGTAGTATTCTCATCAGTGGAGCACGCACATTTTGCCATCCGTGTTCCCAGAAATACCCCTACAGCCTTCAGTGGGAATGCCCGCGGGCTGTAAGACCACACAGGCGTGCTTCGTCTGAACGGTATCGCCCGCCCAGGAAGGCGCGGTGCGGTTCCACGGCCTAACGCAGCGACAGAGCCGCTACCGAGGGGCCGGGCGGGGACGAGGCCCAAGGGGAAGCGCTGAGGGGCGGCAGCCCCGCGCCCTCCGGCAAAAGCTAGAGGCCCCTGCGAGGTACGTGCGGCTGCACCGGCCCCCGAAGGGCGTTAGACAAGAGGTGGGCCCTCTGCCGCCTACGCGAGGACGGGGGAAGCCGGCGGGAGGCCTGACCCGCTCCTCGGCGCCCGCTCCCCGCCTCTCCTCACCGGTTCGCCAGCAGCCGCTCCTGCCGACTCAGCATCTCCCGCAGCTCGGGGAGGCTCCGGCCCCGCACCGCCTGTCACCGGGGCAGCCGCCGGGGCCCGACGCCGCCGGCGCCGCTTCCGCAGCTTGCCCGGAAGCCGCCATCTTACCGGAAGCGACGGCAAGGCGGCAGGGCCCCACTTGGTGGGAACGCGAAGGCCGACGCGGCCGCTGCCTGAGGCGGGCGGCGCGGCCCCGCCCCGTCTCGCCGCTCCTCCTCCGGGAGGCCAGGGCAGTGCGGGAGAAACCACCCCGAGTAAAGGGGGGGGGGGGGGGCCAGGCGGGGATTCTCAGAGCGCAGAGGCCGCCGGGGCCATTTCACCTCAAGCGCTAGGGACTCGCTTTGATACATACATCCACAGAAGCCTAAGACGAGGTCAGACGTTGGTTTTCCGTCAGCTCGAGCAGTTGTTGCGTACTGCGGAGGGGAGGACGCGCCGGCCTCCCGGCAGGGTGGGTCAGGCTCCATGGCGCTTCGACCGCAGCGCTCTGGGGGCGCCGGAGGTGGGCTCAGCGTCCGTCCTGGCGTCACAAACCCCTGACGATAGAAATGACTTGGTATTCGAGAAGGGTACGTCACATTAGCCTGGGTGTGAGAAGTTGCGCAGAACAGAGGCAGACTGCTGCTCCTGAACCCGGCACTCTTTAGTATGCTCAAAAAGCTGCGAAAGATCGAACGTTTCTTAATTATTTTGCATTTTCTTTGACGAAAGGCGTGCCGTTTCCATGTGTTTGAGTAGCTTTTAGCAGAGTTAGGACTCGAGGTTCACTTTCCAGACATCCGTTAAAATGTTCTTTACGTGGCATTTATTTTTTAACACGCTTACGTATGATACGGGGACTGAATGCAGAAATTCAGACTGTAGCATAACGTCAGCCTGCTTACTGCAGACTTTCCTAACTAACCGATAAAAGCGCCACGAGCTTTAAGTAAGTCCGCTCCATCTAGTAGTAGTAAGGTCATTAGCCGAATGGTCGTTCCCAGGTGGCAGATGTCAGCCTTTTAAAGTTGATCCCAGTGGAGCTTTCCTGATCCAAGTAATGGTGAAGAGGCACATTTCTCAGAGATTGTTAAAACAGTTGTTTTATGAACAGGATGAACAGAGGGTCCACCCCGAAGGGACTGGAGGAGGAAGTGTTTTAAAATGGCTGCCCGCCCCTTTGTTTGCTCAGCTGGACGGTGAATGGAAAGGCTGAGGGCCAGGGGAAATGAGATTAATCAAGTAGGCAGCTACCCATGGAAAAAAAATACCATGATCAGGGTGAGAAAAGCCAAGTTAAGCGACTAGCTGAAGAGACCATTTCACTGTCTGTTATGCACAAGCTGGCTCATCTGTGGAAAATCCCTCAGGGAGTTTTTCCTAAGAGTTTAGGGAAGAGGAAATTACTGTGAATTTTTCTCACCAGGAGATCACCAACTGCTAAAGCACACAAGTTCTCTGAATCGCTGTCTCTAATGCAGGCTTAAGTTACGCCATCTATGTAACATTTCTGCATCTTGCAAGAAGGAACACTTTAGCCTGCTTTTTAGCCTCTTTCTCCTGTGCAGATTGGAGAAAGTGGGAAGGCTGGGCATGGAAACAGAGCACTGCTGCTGCCCGCAGGGAAGGGAGAGTCCAGAAGGAACGATCTCATCAGACCACGGCTCTGCACTTATGTGATGATGGTTCATCTCGGTTCAACTGCTGTTATTACATGTACAGAAAAGTAATGCCGGTATTTACAGCAGGTTTCAATTTACGTGCCAAACTGCATAAACACAGAAAAATAGAGCAAAAAATGAAGAAAATAAAGTCCTAATAACGTGACTGCTGGGAATCACGACTGATCATTCCGTAGCCTCACTTGGAATACCATTCACCAAGTCTGTATATATCCAAGGTCATTGGGAAGGAATATTGTTCATCTTTATAGTTCAGGAGTGTTAAGTTTTAGAATACCATAGTCTGTTTACAGGTAACACACAGTTCCAGAATGATGAACAAATAGCTGAAATTTTGCAGGTGTCAGAACAAATATATTCTTGTTTATGGAGAGATGGGCAGCATCTAGATACAATGCAATGTAGACAGTATCAATTTAGATAGAAATGTTAAGAAGGAATAATAGATTTAAGCTTTCTCAGATAATGAGCAGAAGTATGGAGCACTTGTGGGACAGAGGAAAATTATATACTTAGGCATTGCTTGCCCTGGGGCAAAATACAGATGTGTAGGAAAATCCTCGCTAGCCACACTCTGAACATGAGTAATCACCATCCGGCAACACTTACTGCAAGTTTAGTCTTAGGACTTTGCTCTTGCTTCTCTTGGGAGACTAACAGACTGTCATTTGCAGTGCACAGTCGTATTTTTATCGCTTTCCTCAGAGCATTCTTGGCCTTTGTGATTAGAGGCTTTGTTTTGTATCACTTTCTTGAATATTCTGATCAGCATTCATGTGAGCTAAATATATAACAAAACTGGGGCGTTTATTGTTTCTTACGTAATGGGCTTTCCTATGTTTCTCTCTTAGGACATTATCTCAAGAGCTATTATTGGATACAGTTTTCAGTCAGTCTTTCTGTCACTAGATATCTAGAGTTAAATATAATTCATTCTGCAATAGCATGTCTGGAATTACTATGCAATTTAGTATTATTTCTACAGGAATATTAAATTTTTAGAATGACAAGAAGAAAATCAGATATACTAACAAAAAAGAATAAACTGCATGAAAAAAACAACACAAAGCAAGGTGTGACCCAGGACTACTCATCTTCTTATATAGTATAGCTAAAAAAGAAAGGTATTCAAATAACAAGTAACTTATTCTAGCATAGATTTTTTAAAATAATTACACCAGTTACAAGGAACATTGCAACAACGTTTGTGTCTGAATTTTTAGTATTTATCAATGCCAGTAATGACTAAGCTGATGTATTCTAGTCATATGACATTTGGGGGGAGATGGCCATGAAGTACAACTGGCTGAAGTTTTTCAGGTGGAAAAATTTCATGTCAGAAATGTCTGAGTCTGCCCAAAATTGGTATTAAAATTAAAACTAACACTCCTGCTTCTTTTCTGTTAAAGGTATAATTTCCATTGTCCTTTTTCTCCTTTCTTGAACTTTATAAATACATAAATGTTCCTTCTTTTCACTAGGAAAGGGGTAACATACTATAGAATGTAGGTTTTGAGGGGGAAAAACCTACAGTTTCTCTGCCTCTAGGTGGAGAGACTGAGGGGTAGGAGGAGAAGAATCAAGCCACACATACAAAATAAGCCACCCCCAAAGTAAAAGTGGTATGAATATTTGGAATTTAAATTAATCATTTTAATGTCATTAAAAAAAAACCCTTTTTAATAGGCATGATGCAGCTTTGTAATAATTTGTTTTATTTTCCTTAATTTAAATAACTCCTCCCTTAACCTTATTTCTCAAAAATGCCCCAAACACTTTAAAAGCAATCCTATAGATGCTTATACTTATCAACATACTGTTTTACATATGGGAAGCAACTGTCAGGTTATTGTAGTATGCTTACACACCACACACACCTTTACAAAGTATTGTAACTTCATAGATGTTCACTTATACATATTTTCTCTTTAATCCACCAGGTCCCCTTTTCTTTTGAAAATTTTCACATACCTTAAGTTGTAGATGGCTCCTATCACCTCATTTTACTGTGTTTATTCCATGTTCTAGTGCTTGAGGTAGAGCTGGAAGGGCCTTAACTCATCAGGTCTCTTAAGCACATTTCTTCTTTTATGCATGCAAATAGCCCCCAGTGCTGGATGGGAATGAAATAAAATGTAATTGGAATAAAACTCTCAGCATGTATATCTCCATTCTGTGGAGCAGGGATTTCCTGTACAAAATTACAAACTTAACAATGTGGAGAGAACTTAATTCTTACCTATTTGCTCATCTGTCCATGTCTAAAACTCTTCACATGTCAAGATTTAAAGCCTCTCCGAAAAGCATTAGTATCCAACTCCCAGAATCCTATGTTGCAAGTTCAGCACTGAGCATTGCTGATCTCAACATGATTTTATGAGGTCCTTTTGGCAATCTGTACTGATTGAGCATTGTAAACTGTAACACTGTGATTGTCATGCTTGCATGACCTCTTCTTATTTAGTTGACATGTAAATTGTTTCACTGTGACAGTCTTAAAGATAAATCTCTATTATCAGTGAGTGGATATAAACGGCAAAAAAAGATCGGCCACAGTCATCCCAATCTCATCATGCTGAAGCCTGGAGAGCATCATCCCAGACGTATTCAGATGTTATCTGTGTGATCTGAAGTTG